TTAGTACATTATGTGATTTTCGCACGCAAAAATTATACAGAACCACAAACCTATTTCTTATATTGATTTATTAACAATGCAAAAATTATAATTTTTTTCTAAATTACAAATTGTACTTTAATTCTTTAATGATTTTATAACAGAGTTTATGATTCCAATAATTCTCATGAAAAAAATTATTTTATATTATGCAGACATTATTTAAAATATTACTGCAATTCACATTGGTACGCCTTTCCTTTAAATTAATTAAAGGAAAAACACAAAAAAGGCGGAAAATTTCTTAATGGAACTTGTATACTTATTTCAAATTCATGTATTAAACTAATTTTTAAATTCACCTCTAGATGTCACAATTCTACGTTATTTACAAAATTATACAATAATATTGTCAGTTTTATACCGTAATTTGATCGCAGATTATGACGGTAATGAAATGATGAGTACTGTTGACTGATTATTTTTATTCTGTTTATTTGGATCTGAAGGTTACTAAGAGTACTCTCTTAGGTTCAATTTTCTAATAACTTATATTATAATTAACTATAACATAAAAACTTGTTATCTGTTTACTCATAAGATATACTTTAAAATTAGTGTACAATTGTATGTCGTCTCGTATCAACACACCCGCACTCCTAATCGCACTAAATGCCAACTTTTAATCAAATTTTTTCTTTAATTCCTTTTTTAAATTATGATGACCATCCTTTTTGTCAATCTGACAGTTGCATTTTATTACGTCTAAATGATGGCTCTATGCTTTTAATATACTAACGCTTAAAACTTGGCCCATGTTGATCGCCTGATTTTAAAAAACCAGACTAAATAAATTAAAGTATTTTCTAAAATTAACTGTAATTAATAAACGATTTCAAATTGAAACAGTATGAGGTACTTGAAAGTAAAATGATTAATAGCTTTAATTTATAAATAAAACAAGAGATGGCGCATAAAACGACATAACATAACAACTTTATTCTCAAATTTGAATGTGTTATACGCATTCCATCTGAATAACACACAAATTTCTATTATCATTTTATGGATTTTTGAATAAGGTTTTTGAAATTATTTATCCGAAATTATATACAGAATGAGTTCAATTATAAAAAGAATTAAACAAACAAAATATTTCAGATAAAAATTTAAATATGAAATAAAAAAAGTTCAGTAACGTTTTTATTATCGAGAAACTCCCTTATCTTATCATAAAATTTCTTGTAATTAAAAAAAATTATTACCTTCAATAAAGTTGTATTAGAAATAATTAATAGGGCTCTGTAAAATTTGAACGAGCATACTAAAATATTACAATATTTCGGATTCCAACTTCCTGATAATGAAGTACATTATAAGCATTTGAATTGTAAATAATTTAATTATATTTTTTTTATTATTTCTTTAACTATAATTAATTAAATTAATTTTTATTGAATATTCCTTATCAATTTTATCTACTAATAAATTAATTTTTCTGAATGACAGACGACAACTATAAATAAATAATTTTTGGTAATTTAATTTATTAAATACAAAAATAATGTTATGTTATAGGAGGATTTGTCCCTAAATGTGGTGAAACTAAAGTATTAAACACGAGTAATCCATTAGGCATAATTTTTAAAAATTAATTCTCAAGAGAAGATCCATTATATGTATATAGTCAACATAGTGTATTTTAAGCATTTTTGATTAAATTATTACATTCCCTTAATCTGTATTAGCTTTTATTTGTGCCGACGTGGAATTACCTCTATTGAAATTTAATTCAAACCACATGCCTTTATACAATTACCTTCTTCTCCATCTTGGTTATGTATACTCATTACCCTTCAAAACATCTAATCCGAGGTTGGCGTTTGTGTTGTTCAGAGTTATTTCAAGTTTTCATTTTAAAGGAAATCCTATTATAAGAAAATTCTGGTAATTGTACATGCGTATACCGTTGTTTAAATAAATTCAAATATAAATTTTATAGGCTCATCAACTACTGCGGCTCATGGTTATCTACAATATTAGGCACCAGCCCTATACTCCTCCCAAGAGCGAAGTAGGATAAAAAATAAACAACGAGTCCACTAAAATCCGAACAAAATCCAGGCGCGTTTGATCCAGAATGGACGACTTTTTTGTCTTCGCCTGATCTCAGACGGACAGCAGTAGAAAAAACCTAGCTGGGTTAGCAGTCATATAACTGAATATGAAATATCCAATATTAATAATATAATGCGGTAGGGATATCTACCAAAATGTCGGCAGTGAGTACGGCTGTGGGCTTCGCTGAATGTTCAAAACGTTCACAGAAGTCGCCAGTAGAAAAAAAAAAGATCACTTAGCGAAATTAATGAACCCGTTTGCTAAAAGCTGAAGGGTTGCAAAGTCTCCCCCTATGGGAGAAATTAGCAGGAAAACCATAGAAGGTTATAAAGAAAGAAAGTCTGAAGAAGACAACATAAGTAAAATCTCTGAAGGTAATGTAAAAAGCCAATTATATCAGGAAAGTGGACCAATGATCCATTCGCGTATAAACGATTTGGAAAACCTGTGTAAGGAGCTGAAAGAAGAGATCTGCAAACTCAATGCTGAAAATCTTAGATTATCGGGACAGCAGAATGCAATTTGAAATGGTGCCGAAAAAGACAAAATAGGTGCGGTCGTGTACGAAATAGATGAAAAAGAGTTAGCTAGAGAAATTGATTGGATTTTTAAAACCAAATTAAAAAAAAAATTTAAATAGCAAAAGATTTAAAAATTTTCAGTTGCTGGTATACTTAGTTAAATATTCTCGCACTCTTTATCAAACTTGTTTTTTACGGTATTACATCCAGGAGGCAGCAATTACGTACAAAAAGGTCACATACGTAACATTTGCTAAAAATATTTGTACAAAGTTACGTGATTTCTGTTTATTTATTTTCAAAGAGAGTTCATTGTGCATTTTCTCTCCTTTTTACGATAATTACAAGATACGTTCAATAAATTCTCATTTTAGTCTTAAATTTTAAATTAAAATATAAATTAACATTTTATTGCTGATCCTATACGTCCCTTTTCAATTCATTTAAATTTAATGAGAATTTTTATCGGTTCATTTATATATTTTTAAATTTTGTTCTTAGACCTTGCAAAATATTGTTTTTAATTTATTTTTCATACAAATAAAATTTAATTGTTGATTCAACTGAGGTGTTAAAATAAAGCAATTTATTTAAGTAATTACTACGAAAATAAAACTAAAATTGGAAAATTAAAGACGAAAATGCATTTACAACACATTGTGGTTTATGTTGCTGGAATTTTAAGATGAGTCGGTCATTAATTTCGATTCTGACAAAGAAATGGGGTGAACTCATTCAAGGTTGTTTAACTTAAGAAGACAGTCAATTACTTAAATGATTCTCAATGTCAATTTAAGACGTTTCCAAATTTTTGTTCAAATTTTCTTGCATATCTTCGAATTTACTAAACCCATATGTATGGATATATGAGTTACTAGAATTATGTTGTTGAATTTTATTCCGCAGATAATTGGTGTACGATAATCATTTACGGAAAGTTTTAGAAAAACAGTTGTGCGATTTTAAACAAGAATACCGTTTATAGCTTTCAAATCAATACGCCCGTAAATCTTTAATCTGTTATTTTATTCAAGAGTAACATATGGAAGAACGATTTATTTAAGCAAAGTTTAATTGGGCGGCGTTGTAGTATACTGAAGTAATAACATTTATTTTTGTAATTTTGTAATAATAGCAATCATTAAGGACACTAATGATTATAATATGACCATAAACACTTTGAGCACGTTATCATCTCGAACCAATTAATTTATTAAATTAAAAATTTACGATAAATGTATGAAGATCCGTTCATCTGAATTCTTTGATTTCAAAAGAAGTTACTTCATATTTAAAATCCAAACCATTTTTTCAAAGTATACACCCATTATACAATAATAGCAGTATTGCAATTGCATTAACAGTTATTATATAATTTAAATAACGATTACTAATAAAAGACAAACTATCCTTCTTCACACAAATTGTAACAATAGAACACACAATTGCACATATAAAATTTTATTATATAAGCTGACAATGGTATTTTTAACAAAGTGTAATGAATATTGCAATACAATTTTCTTGTGTATGTAATATAAAAAAGCTAACAGCTTATATACAAACCCACAAACATATTATGTACACATACAATTGAATACAATGAAATTCAAACAATATTTGAAAAAAAAAAATTATGTACATAAAGAGTAAAGACATTTTTATACCCTTCACCTTCGTGATGAGGGTATATATAAACTTTGGTACGGAGTTTTTTAGTACTTGAAGGAGCTGTCTGCGATATGGACATGTATATATTGTATTCTTGCTCAACATAAAACTCTGCGTTGATTTAGACATGTTCGTGGGTTTTTCCGATCGCACTATAACTCTAAAAACGAATATAGTAAAGTTCAACAAATTTTCACAAATTGTTTTTTTTTTCTGCCGATGACTGGATCTATTGCAACTGGATCGATTCAGACTACTGGTTCTGTTATCTGCCATACAATTCAAAGAGATTATTTTAAATAGCTCAAAAACTAATAAAGATACTATTATGCGAAAATTTGTATGCATATGTCCAATTACATTTTCCATATATTTTCAAAATTTTAATGAAATGGCGGTAGAAATTCGGGTAGCTACCATGCAATTCCAAAATTTAATATTAAATATTCGGAAAAGTAATTATGTTAGATTCATGAAAATTGGCAGTCGTGTGTATAATTATAAGTTACACAATAACCTAGAACTTTTTATGGAATGTTTTGACAGGTTCGAATGACTGCCATACTAACCATATAAGCTAATTCTAATTTATTCAAAAATAAGTTTTTATACTTAAATTTTCAAGACGCAGGGTATAATTCAATCGAGTTAGACCAATATTTTCTATTTTGATTATTAGAATTTTCAGTTAATGATTGTCTGTGAAAATGTAAAGTTGTGCGGTGCTATTAAAGGATGATGACGGCCGGTTTTTAATATTTTTTTTTTACTATTATTACTGTTATATTGTTACTTCTATTGTTACATTTAATTTTAAATAATATTTTTTAATTTTAATTTATTTATTTTTTTTTAAATTTTATTTCGTAATAATTAACATAACTGCGTTTACAATGAATTAATTGAATTTAAATGAGAGAAAAACATTAATGGAAATTTTAAGATTTTTTATAAAATTTGAGACAATAACAAAAATAATTTGATTTGTGATTTTAATAATAAAAAATTTAATTAAAAAACAAAATAATTTTTAAGTTAAATCGCGCACTATAAATGGAACTGATCTCGTACAATAATGTGAAAAAATTGTAATGAACGAGTGAATTTTTATTAATTGTTTTTGTTATTATTAAAAATAAAGATGAATTTTTAGCGAAAATCAAGCTGATAACTGATAAACTTAGCTGAATTTTTTAAAAAAAATTTTAAAAATAGAAAGAAAAAAATTTCTAAGAAAATTTGCGTGTTGTTGCTAATTAAATTCTTAAAAATTTTGATGAATTTTTTTTTTGGGGAGGTGGGGGGTGATATTTTTTGGAGATTACTACAAGTTTTCAAATGTGTGTTAATTAGTTTTTTGGCATATTACTTATTATATAGTTGCTGTTTATTTTAAAGAAATGATAATGAAACTCATATTTTTTGCTGGCTTAGTATTTAAAATTAATTGTTCTTACTATTTTGTTTTGCTAAGGTTCTTATGCGTAAAATAACGTAATAATGTTTTTTTTTAAAAAAATTTGAAAATATTTGGGTCTCTTATTGGGAAAATCTTTAAAAAACAAGTTAAAAAAGAAATATAAATCGAAAATTTTCATGATCTTCTGATATACTTAGGATTTGCCTTATACAAACGCTCACTCTTGTATTATGAATATGATTATAATCTTATTATTGTTACTATAGAAGGGGTCTTTTATATGAAATAATTCTGCTATATAAAATAATGCTTAATAGAATTTTAAATAATTAGCATTATTAAACTAATTATAAAACTAAAATCATTAAACAAAATTTACACGGTCTATAATTTATATATAGACATACGGCTAAGGCCTATATGGTAAAATAAGGTATAATGTTCAATGATATTTTTTTCTATAATTCTAAACTCTCATATATTACCGTGTTATAATATATGCTTTTATTTATTAAATATAAAGAAAATATTTATATCCTTGAATTTCATTAAAGAACATATACCTATACACCTATATAGTAGTATAACACTTTGTTATTTCTTTATTACAAAAAAAATCCTTAACTTTTGATATTTCTTTTTTTCGTATATATCAAAGACAAAGGAAAAAATAAATATTTTCCAATAAACCATCTGTTACGAATGTATACGTATTTACATTATGTAGGTAGGGTTTCTAAAAATGACCTTTAATATATAATAAATTTTACAACATATGCATAAATAGAAATTAAAGAGCATATTATTATACCTTTGGTTTTATAAAACTGGGTTTGTTGAAATTTTAAGAAATTTATATTTGAAACACACGGAATTTTTAAGGATATGTGAAGAAAATGAATTTAAAAATTTTTAATATTTTTTTCCGACAGCGAGGCGATTTTTCAAAATAATATTAGGACTATGGTTATTTTGTTGAAAAAAAAAAAGAATCGCTTCAAACAAAGACTCGGTCTCTTACAGCTCAACCAGTTTGAATATTAAAAAAATTTTTTCCTATTAAGTAGGGGTTTTCACTCAGAGACTCCTATAATTTTTTTTAAAATTTTCCAAACAATCGCTTTAAAAGCCTTTCATATACAAATGTGTTTGTACACCAATTGCAATTTGTTTTTCATATTCACAAATTTTCAGAGCAAAGAAAAACTTTCAAAATGAATTGTTGTAAACTTAAGTTTTTATTAGTTTTCTTTTTATATTTTTAATCTTTGTAATTATACAGGTTGTTCGTCTTCAAAATTCTGCTAGGTAAATATCTTTGCTTAATGAACTTTATTTTGGTATTTTTTTTTTCAACATTTCGGAGTCGTATTTAATCCTTGCACTTTTCTTACGCAGAAACGAAGTTACTCAGAAACTTTCTTCGCCACACGAGACCAGTCTAGCCCCATCAGAGCCGCACACTTGCAGTTATAGTGAAAAATAGTCTCCTTGTCAATTTCCCGGCAACTGCGTATTGAAGGGCAACCCTAAACTAACTGCATGCTCCACTCAATTGCCAAGAGCCCATTTATTTTCGTAAGATCATAGTTATTTGCACCATTTTTCTTGCCGTCGCGCAAGAAGGCAGAGTTTTTCACGATAATCGAAAATTCTGTCTTCATGTCGACGCGTTCGACGCATGATAGATAATGTTCATTTAGCAGTCTGTCGTAAATGAAGTGTATCATTTTCACAGTCCGATAACTATCAAATGATGATGTTTTTGTTTGGCAATCTGATAACCGACGTTATCTAAATGATAGTTGTTTTTGCTCTTTCCTACAATATTATTTTGCATAACTATTGACAAGCAGTGCGTTTAGAAGCCGAATACCCCCCTGTATAATTATTTTCTTACAATAATTGTAATTGTATTGCAAACAATGGTATAAAATTTATTATTTTTTCCCCCATGTTAAATTACAAAAAATCTATGAATTGTTTAGTTTTTTGCAGTTTCTTTAAAAACTTCCGAAACTTTAATGCAACTTTTATTCAAATTTTTTTTAGTATTATTGTTACTTTCATTTTCAATTGAGAAAAAAATTTTTTAATACTCGAAATAATATGAAAAAGAGTTTGGAAGTTTTTTGAACTTCAAGTTTTTTTTATTTTCATTTGTCTACATATTCCGTTTTTAAGAACTTTCACTTTAATTTCTTAGACAAAATGCAAATTATATGAAGTGTATTAAAAATAAAAGAAAAAAAAAATAAATTTTTATTATGAACAGATTGACTACCATTATTGTTGAGACGAAATTGTTTTACTTTTGGAGATAAGCTTTAAAATTTTACAAATTTTATGAATTTACAAGTAACAAAAGCAATTGTTTAAAATAAATTATCTCTGGTTATATTTTATGTCAATGCTCTTATACACATACAACAGGGGGCACAAATAAGATCAATATTCAAAAATCAATTACCCAAAATCAAAACCTACAAATCACATTTGAATAAAACAATCGAATATACTAAACTGGTACATAGGGCAGAAAAAGTTATTCGGCGCCGATCATTCGGGCAAAGGAATAAATTATCTCTATTAAATACAGTCAATATTATTTTACGTCAAATGAACCAAAATCATTTAAGACAACCGAATTCGAAAACTAAGCATTCGTTTCCCAATAGAACTTACTCCTGATACTCGTATATACTATGCTATAGAATTCTTGTCTCCTCTCCATCTTTTCCTTCACTGATTAACTCAAGAATTTGGTTAAAGTCAAATATTCGATAAATTGTTTGTAATTATTTACTAATCAAAATTTATTGAATTAAAATTGATTTAATCACTAAAAACATACAAAACATAATTTCAATTCTAAAATAAAGATTTGAAAAATTTCCAAAGCTCAAATTATACTACAAAACATTGTGATTTCCAAATGTTTATTATTGAGAATTTTGTTATTTGAATTAGATTATTACTTTCAATTGATTTCAATTAAACTTTTTATTTTTCTTTTATTATTATTATTAAAATTATTATAGTGTGAATGAAATTTGATTTTCTATAGAAGCATGTAAACATTATGTTGCACTGACGTCATTTTAGAAAAAAAGAAATACAATATTCTGTTTATATAGATAAGAAAGTAATAATGGATATTTTTGTTTTTGAAAATCAGCTCCAAAGAAAAAAACATAATTTATTTTTTAATATTTGAAACATGCTCGTAATTAATAAATCAAAATATTTTGGTAGAAGTTATAAAATAGAATCAAAATTTAAGTTCAATTTATTTTAAATATTAGCTTGCTATCAAATATCCAATACATATAATTTTGTTCAATAATTTTATTAGATTTTCATAGATGGCACGGATTGACATTAGATCAAATCACTGAAAAAAATGAGAATTTTTGTCACATTCCACAATCAAAACTTCGATATTGCTAACAACTCTTAAAAAATGACTCTAAATATGCTCAAATACTATTTACAAATGAGACGGTACCAGCATATATTATTCGAGCTGTATGAGTCTCTTCCTGTTCAATGTTCAATGCAACACTTTTGTAGTGGTAAAATCTATACACAAATGGTTTACAACATATCCCATAATTAGTGCAAATAATAACCCAGTAAAGGATGGGCCTCTGCTCAAACTAGGTCTATCTCTTGCTGGAGCATAAAATATCACTCACTCTCTAGCAATTGATCTTATATCGTTTAAAAATATTATAATAAAAGAAAAATGAAGTATAGAAGAGCACAAAATATAGAGAGAAATAGTATAGAAAGAGTCCTTGACTGTATTTTATGAGTATTACTGTCTTATATAACAATAAAATGATATTACTTTAAAATTGAATGCAAATATATTGATTTTCCTGTAATTTTTAATTAATTTTAATTCAAATGCAAATTAAAATTAAATTCAAATTAATAAAAATTCCGATCTTTTTATACAAAATCTTAAAATATTAATTTTTATTTGCAATTTGCAAAAAAAACTATTATACTTTATAATAATTCAAATATAACAACTTGTTAAGCTAATAACGTAGTACATATTAATTTAACGATTTACATATAAACATAAATTTTAATTGTATATACATATATCATTATTTATATTTACATATTATATACATACATACTTATTATAAATATGACTACTTTCTTATATATACCCGCGTATGACCGTTTCTATCAATATTACTTGTTCAAAAAGCTTTTGACATTGGTTGAATGTCGTATAAATATAATTTATTATAATTATTAGTTTCTTTCCGCTATACTTGTAAAAATTGAACTGTACACAATGTATAATATAATTAATATTATACATATTGTGCTCATATATAACATATTGTATAATGACAATAATATAACAGAAATAAAAGTAGCGGGTGCATTTAACTGTCATGCTACAATTCATGTAATAATCATTGAATTTATACATAATACGTATAGTAATTGTTATGCATAAAATATTTTAATAAATACAATATAGAGATACAAACGACTATAATATTATAATATAAGGAAAAGGTAAAGTTTTTTAAGGTAAAAAAATTTTTTGCATTGAACCCTCTCAACACTTAAAAATTTCATTGTTAAAAATTACATTAAGAAAATGTTCATAATAAATAAGTAAAAGTTAAATATTTT